TAAAAACCATTCAATTTATAAAAACCGTGAAAACCTCATTCAACCGATCATAATTTTTCATTTTGTTCATTTTTTTGTAATTATGAGAGGTTGATTAACCATTTTTATTGTGGAGGGTGTTAATCATGGATATTATCATCTTCATTATTTTAATTTTAGAGAAATACATGACAATTTCATTAAAATTTCATTAAGTGGTATATGAAACAATTTCATAACCACATATGAAACAATTTCATCAAAAAAAGTATTATATGAAACAATTTCACAAGATTAATAATTTCATGAAAAAATTTCATAAGATTAACGACGGATGAGAGTATTTTTTACGGTTTTTACAAATTGGAGTGGTTTTTATTTTATCGTTCTTCTATATATATATATATATATATTATTTGTGTCTTTGAAATGAAACGAAAAGAAAGAAAATAGTTTTTCATGTTCTTAGATACGAGAAAAAGAAAATAAAATGTGTTTTTTTTACAAACATACCCTTTAAAATATGTTCTTTATAATGAAATGTTGGATAGTTTTGTAATTTTAATTTTTTTTTTACTTTCCTCGTTTTTCTTTTCTTTCCTTCATAAAAAAATGTTTCGAGAACACAACGTAAATAACAAAAACACATCTAAAAGTAGTATATATATTGTTTTCATTTTCATTTACAGACAAGTTTTATCTATACAGTCAACTTTATCCAAAAAATACTTAATGAAATAAGAGCAAAACTTATATATAGGGGTGTGAATTGGGCATATTCTAGTGGACAAACCAAAAGCCCGATCGAATTTATGATATGAAAACTGATCCCCGGATTTTGGGTTCTCAAATTCGGGTTGCTTCAGGTTGAGGTTGGTCGGGTTTTGAGTTAGGGTCGGTTAGGTTAGAGTATGGCTATATGCAAAAAGAAAATATTTAATCGATCTGGAAGATGAATTCAATCGATTGATAGGATTGATGAAATGGACGAACCAATTTGGAAGATGAATTCAATTGATTGATAAGATTGATGAAGTCGTTGGTAGGTTTGGAAATTAAAAAAAAGGTATATATATTGTTTTCATTTTTTGAGACAACGATTCACTGTACGGTGTTCTTTGTGATAGAACACAAACATTGGTACAGTATGGATGTTTTCCTATTGGCTTTTGTTGAAGAGGTATGTGGATCACACACACATAACAAATACCCATAAATCAAAGGGCCTCTGACCTAACGGTATTGTAGTCATTGGTCTCCTAGGAGGTCAAGGGTTCATACCTCACCAAAGATGAGAAGAATGTGTAAGTTTATTTGTTGCATTTGTCGTATATAAATATTACATACTTTAAAAAAATACCCACAAGATGTTGGACATCGCAGGATAATCACTCTGATGTAACCAATGCAATACTTAGATTATCGAAGGTTGGATCAAGTAATGTTTGAGGGTTTTCAGATGCTTATCATTTTGGCTTAACGACCGCATTCTTTATTGCTTTGAATACTTCAAGACTTGTTTATGGAACAAAAAATTTGGTTTTATACAAGAACTCTAAGGTGGCGTTTGTTTTTTAAGAGGTGCTTAGGTCTGAAGTCTGAATTCATTTCTGAATTTTAAGAGGTGGTGCTGAAGTCTGAAATCTGAATCAGTCAGACTGTTTGTTTTTACGTCTGAAATCTGAAATCTGAATAATTGAAATCTAGGCTTTCTTTGCAAGCATTGGAAGCTCTAAAAGCAATTAAGAGGTTTTAAGTGAAAATGTTACCTCTAAATAATTCAGACATAATCAGAGCTTTTAAGCTCTTAATTGAAAAAAAAAAAAAACAAACACACTCAATACCCTAAGGTCTGACTGATTCAGACATAAGATGGTATTAAGTGCTTTTTAGGTAAAAACAAACAGGGCCTAAAACTTTGGCACCAAACAGGGATCTGGATAGAAAATTTCCAAAAAAGGTTTTTCTTACCGCTGATAAAAATACTGATGTATGGGATAAAATTTCCAAGTAGATATCTGATTTGTACTTTATGGCTATAAGCATTAAATAAGCCATATTGCATTAAGTGCTTATTAGCTTTAAGAAACAACATATCACAAAATCATGGAAAATCCAGTCGTTAGACATAATCATGAAGATGGAAAATTTGACATTTTAGGGTTTCAACGTTCATTAAAAAAGCGTTGAACTTGTTTTATAAACCCTCATCCGAATATTTTACTGATATTGTCGAGAATGTTTTCGTTTAATAATCTGAAGACGCTTTAACTTTCTGATATTTGTTCGGGTTTAAGTCTTCGACAAATTACTGACAGCCCATTTCTAGAAACATATTCCGGTGAAGAGTGAAGATTACACACTTTCCAGTGCTAGTTCCGTTATTTGTAGAATTTGACGTTATAGATTCGTTTCGTCAAATACTTGGACTTTAATAAATAACTATAACATATTAAGAATTAAATTATCAAAATACAAATAAAGTTAGGGTTTTTTTCTCGTCAATAATCAAAATAACAGAATCTTCGGCTGTTAATGACATGGAATAAAATTAAGTTTTTTACACTTACACTAACTATAATATATCTGTCCATCTGTTTCAAAATAAATGTCTACATTACTATTTTGTTTTGTCAATGTAGTTCTAAAAGTAATTTTCTACTTTCTCCTTATACCTTTATTGAGTAATGTACTTTCAAAAAACTTCTATTTTGGCACATAAAGTGTAAAGTTTTAAATATTTAAGTATCCGGATGATTGGTTGAAGATTAATTTTAGATTAAAAAGTCCATTTCACTGACCACATCAACGAATAATATCGAATTGGATACCATATCAGCATGATAACCGGTTAATGCTTCAACCAGTTACTCATGTACTCAAATGTTTAGAACTTTACATCTTATGTACAAAAACGGAGGTTTTGAAAGTACGTTACCCAAAATAGAAATTAAGTTAAAGTACGTTACGTTTTTATGCAATTTGACCTATAAATCAATAACAAATAATAATCCATGAATGATTAAATACCAATTTCGTTTCATTTTTCATATTAAAATGACAATCACAATATCATAACAAACATCTGCAATTTAAATCTGAAAAATAAACAAGAGTCAATAAAAGCAGTGTATTTTTTTTTTCCTTTTTCCTACTGATATGTTGATACATGGAAAAAGAAATGGTAAATTTCTTTCGTCTTATAGGTGTAAGGATTTTTTTTTCGTTCCATAAAACGTTCAAGGACCCAATCTCTCAAAATAAAAAAGTTTGTGGGATTTTCTCCGTTTCAGTAAATTCAGGGATTTATATGTTCGATTCAGCATAATCAGATATTTATTTGTTCAAAAATACAGTTTAGAGATTAAAGGTCTGTTTGGCTCAAGCCAATTAATGAAAATGAGGATGAAAATGAAAATGACTGAGAATGAATTTTCATTTCCCCCTAATTTAATCAGGAATGAAATTTTGGACTTCTAAGGGAATGAACCCATTATATTATAGGAAACCAAATAATTTATATATAATATCAGACCCATTGATTACTGTTTAATACCTCTAACCAAACATGCTCTAAATCAATCAAAATGTGATAGTTCGTTGGTTTTACCTCACTTCCAACTTATCAAATTAAGAACTATATAAAAGTCCGTAACGGTAGTTCTTAAAGAACTTCATTTTTATGGGTCTCGTGTATTTTTTTCAACATCAATAATTATTATATATAATATTAATAATTATAAAGTTAAGAAAATAAAATAAAAACACCATCAGAAGGTCATTTATAACAAACTTTATGGTAAGAACCAAGATTTTTGTACAAGAACCTAAAGAGGAAAAAAAATTCTTATATGATACAAGCCACTTTCACTTTTTACTAACCAGAAGGGTACTCCCTCAATGCAGCGAAGTAAATCTCCATTTCAATGTTTATTCTTTGTCTCTATAGATATAATACGATTTTATGTGGTTTTGAGAAAACGATAATGTTTTTATTTTTGAATGAAATATAAATTTGAATATAACATAATATTTTTAAAAAATATATCAATATTAGTATCAAATTAACTATTTAATAGTTCTCGTTTTTTTTTGGTGTAACTTATTTAATTCAATTTTTTATTTCTAATTTAAATTTAGATTTAATAACAAAATAATTTATTTTTGGTTTAACAATATAATTTTTATAAAAATAATAATTAAACATTCTGTTAGAACTGAATGATTATCTTAACTATATTTTAGATTTTCTATATTTAAAATGAATGTTTATTCTGTATTTGATTATTTTTATCTGCATTTAGTTATACAAATTTAAAGATGGAGCTTTAATAAGTCGTACTTACGCAAAATTACTTGTAATCTTGAATTTTAAGTAACATGAATCAATAAACAGTACTTTATACATAAAAAATARTTTTTAAGAGTTTTTGTCAAATATTTTATAATATAGTATAGATAAGAACCTTGCATTAGAGATGCTCTAAATACATTTCTATATATTGTTAAATGCATCCTTATCTGCTAATTTTCCAGTCACACATGTCACCATAAAAATCTATATTTTATACATTTTATGCATAATTTGATCTGATTCTGGTATAAAATTGACATACCCAAAATTAGGGTAAAAGAAACATTTGGGAAGTAGTGGTACATGGTGACATTATTTACGGCTCGTTTTTTGGATGCAAAGTTTCCTTCTACAAATCTAACTCAAAATTCACTCACACACACACTCTCTCTCTCTCTCTCTCTGTCTCTCTGGAATTACGTTCGAATATTGAGCTCAGCTCGAGGGCATCAACGAGGTACGCTGTATTTTGAAACTAGGGCTACGGTTTTTCATCTTCATTATGACTTGTTTTTGTTTACATTATTGATAGATGTTGATGAATAATTCTGTTATAAACTTAGGGTTTTGTTTGATCGTTTGATTTGATTGTTTATCGGGTAAATTTTGAGTGTTTTTTTTTATGTAGCCGATCTAGTCTGTGAAGTATGAAGGAACATGAGGATTGTGATATGAATAGGATTGAGAAAGCTAGTGTGATTGTTGATTCTACTGTACTTGAAGAAATTGTAACTGAGGAGGGGAAAACTGAGGGGGTTTTGGGTGGGAGAGATGAAGGGGAGGATATGATGGTGGATGTTGTGGGTGCTGATGCTGTTGATTTGGATGGTAAAGCGGATTCGGTTCGATTGGTGGAAGAGTGTATGCAGAAAGAAACAGAGTCTCATGATCTGAATATGGATGTGAAAGAAGAAGTTGCAGGCTCAGGTGAAGAAGATGTTTGTCATGATTCAATTGGAAGTAGTGTTTCAACTGTTGAGAAAGTTGAGGTTCGAGATTGTGAAATGGGTTTTGAATCAAGGGGAGAGTCTCAAATTGGTGGAGGGGATATTGCTGGAATTGATGGGAAGGAGCTAACGGAAAGAGGTTTGATTGTCGAGCAGTGTGTAGAATCTGTTGAAGATTGTTTGCAGAAAGAAACAGAGATCCGTGATCTGAATATGGATACGAAACAAGTTGCAGGTTCAGGTGAAGAAGATGTTTGTCATGATTCAGTTGGAAGTGGGGTTTTAGCTTTTGAGAAAGTTGAGGTGACAGTGAACGAGGAAGGTTTGAAAACGAGTATAGAGGTACGAGAATGTGAAATGGGTTTTGAATCAAAGGGAGAGCCTCAATTTGGTGGAGGAGATATTACTGGCAAGGAGCAAATGGAAAGAGGTTCAACCGTGGAGCAACATGTAGAATCTGTTGAAGAGTGTATGCAGAAAGAAACTGAGACTCATGATCTGAATGTGGATATGGAAGAAGCTGCGGCTTCAGGTGAAGATGTTTGTCGTGATTCAGCTGGAAGTGGGGTTGCAGCTTTTGAGAAAGTTGAGGTGACGGTGATTGAGGAAGGGTTGAACACAAGTTTAGAGGTAAGCAAAGACGTTCTTCAAGGCAATGATGCAACTGCTTGTGGATCCTTGGTACAAGATTCTAAAGAATCATCAATTGGTGGAGGAAATATTGTTGTAATAGATAACAAGGATCTAACTGATAGAGGTTCAACCGAGGAGGTCGTGGAGCAGCATGTAGAATCTGTTGAAGAGGTGGGTGACGGAGATCGTGTGATGGATGGAAAAACCAAGAAAGAAGCCGAGACTGTAGATTCGTCAAAGATTGAAGAGTCACTTGCTACAACAACCAACCTGTGTTCACAAGAAGTTGACATGATAGTTGTGGAGGATGGTTTTGCCAGCAAAGATGAAGCTAAAGATGGCGTTTCTGTGGATCCAAGTTTAGTTTCTGCTAATAATCAAGATTCTTCAACTGAGTTGGTCAATGTAGGAACTGATGAAGTTGATGGAAGGAGCAAAGAAGATTGTATGCATCCAATAAACGAAATTATAACAGATGATTCTCAAGGAAATGCAAGCAGAGAGACTCGTTTTGTTGGAGGAGAAAATGATTTGATAGATAGGGAGGTGGAATTAGATAGAGGTTTGGCCAAGGAGATCATGGAACAGCCTATAGAATGTGATCAACAAGTGGGTAATGAAGATTGTGTGGTGGATGAAAAAATTGGGAAAGAATCTGAAGATTTAGATTCCACGAAGATTCCAGAGCCTTCGACCACAACAAATCCTGGTTCTGAGGATGTTGATGTTGTGGTTGTAGAGGAGGGTTTAGCCAGCAAAGATGAAGCTCAAGATGGCGTTTCAGTGGATCCGAGTTTGGTTTGTGCTGATAATAGAAGTTTACCGACTAAGGTGGTTAATTCAGCAACAAGTGAAGGTGATGTCATTGCACAAGCCGAAAATGTGGACCAACAAGCTGAAGTTATATCACACGGTGCTCGAAATCTTGAAAATGGAACTGGGGTCGGAGATTCCAAATCGGCTGTTGATTCATCTAGTGGAGAGCCTCAATTTGGAGGAGAAACTGCTGTAATAGATATAGAGGAAACAGAAAAGGGTTTGACTGCCGAGGAAAAGGAGATTGTGGAGCAGCATCCTGAATCTGTTCAAAAGGTGATTCATGGAGATGGGGTGATGGATGAGAAAACTCGAAAGGAAGACGAGGTTTTGGATTCCTCAAAGATTCCAGAATCATTAATCGCAACCAATCTTGGTCCAGAAGAAGTTTTAACCATGAAAAATGTAGCTCAAGATAGTGATTCTGTTGGTCAGAGGTTAGTTTACCCTGATAACCAAAGTTTATCAACTGAAAACTCAGACCCACGAGCTGAAATTGACACAACGAGCAAAGATGAGAGTGTGCATCCAACAGTAGAAATCACCGCATGCACCGGAGTTGATCAAGGTATAAAAGCAGGGGATGCCAGCAGGTGTTCGATAAATGATGCAGCTGTGTGTGTTAAGCCATCTAATGAAGTCCCAACTTCCGCTGAGATGAATGGTTTCCAAGTCTCAGCCGATGCTTTTGAGGAAGTCAACGGTGTGACACCATGTGCAGATGTAGTCAAACATTGTGTAGTGCACGAGGACTCAGGTTTTTCATATGAAGATGCTCACATGGAGCGAGGAGAGGATGCAGGGATGGACATTGATGAAGTATTGGGATGGAAAGATGAAATGCCCGGGATTGATGTTTTAAGTGGTCATCAAGAAAAAGATCAACACGATAAGATTAATGCGGACTCTGAAGGGGGCAACATCGTTAATAATGTAGTTTCTTTTAAAAAACGGAAGTTTCTTGATCCCATTTCTGATGGTTCAGAGAAAAAGCCGAACCTAAATCTTGAAAAAGTAGCAACTGCTCTAATTTCAACTCCTAAGCCGTCCTTCAAAGTTGGCGAATGCATTCAAAGGGTAGCGACCCAGCTGACTGGGCCACCATTAGTTCTGAAGTCCGACAACGATCCAAATGGTCAACGTGTTGACCAACTAGTTGGACCTGAGAACTCCCAAATGGAAAGGATGATTGTCGAGAGTAAGCAATCATCTGTAGATGAGATGCTATCACAACTCCAGTTGGTTGCTCAAGATCCCATGAAAGGACACACCTTTTTAAATACCATCAAACCGTTCTTTTATGATCATAGAGCTGTTGGAAGACCGGTCAGTGTTAGGAAGAGAAAAACGTCCAACGAAAACGAAGCTGAAGAGTTTGAATTTGACGATGTTAATGATTCTTATTGGACGGATAGGATCATCCAAAACCATTCGGAAGAGCAATTGTTGCAAGATAATCAGAATGGAGGGCAAGAACATCATGTTGTGGTTTCTGAACCAGATAAACCAGCAAAAGCAAATCGTAGATCGAATAAAAAACGGTTTTTGTTTAGTAATCATGAAATGGGGTTAAAGGAACAATCAGAGCTCGTTGAGCGTAGGCGGCAAAATTTGGCAACGGAGGTTGTATTGAAGTTCCCGGAGGGTATCTATTTTCCTTCGGAAATTCATCTAAATAAAATGTTTAGACGGTTTGGGGCTTTGATGGAATCGGAAACCGAAGTTGATAGGCAGAACGGGCGTGCACGAGTGGTGTTCAAAAAATGTTGCGATGCAGAAGTTGCTCATAGTAGTGCCGGGAAGTTCAACATTTTTGGGCCAATCAATGTAAATTATGAGCTCAATTATAACCCGTTAGTCTCGTACAAACCCTTGCCCCTTTCGTTATTACAAGAAGACTCCATGGATGCAAGCTAATGTCATTGCTGCAGAAGTTATTCTTTTCAGACATCTGGTAAAATATTGTTTCTCTTTCACTGGATATTTGACTATATGCGAATTGGTAGGGGAAACCCCAAAAAATAAAAACCGAGGAACACCCTGGTAACCATTCATCTAGACAGTTTGCACATGTGCATACAAGTATTTGAAGATGTTTTTTAGTTTTCATGCACGTGTGCATACCAGACAAATTGCTTACAAATTACTTGTATACACATATGCATACCGTCCAGATGAAAAGTTACCGGGCTGTTCTCAGTTTTCATTTTTTTGCAATTTCCACTTGAGCGAAAGTATACCAGGTTCCATTCAATAAAAAGCAACATGTGTTTAATCGTATATGAATACGTGTTTGTATCACATGTAATCATCTGTGATCTTGGAACTTCTCGGCTTCTTGTAAATTGACTGCCTACTCGTTTGAACGTGACCCGTTATGAGATATGCTTTCGAATCAAATCATAGATTCAAAGAATCAAAATCCACTTTGATTGATTGATTATATGTAGTGTGAAGCATCATTTAATGAGTTATATATCTTTAAATTGTACACAGGTCAAAACATTGGGCTGCAGCTTCTTGGAAAAGCATTGTGCTTCATGAAAGGTAAGTAATAACTTATTTGTGCCTTTTAGAATGCTTCTTTTGCCTTCAATTCAAATAAAAAGAAAATATGAAGGGCAAATTTCAAATGAGTAGTTTATGTTGTTGTCATACCTATTTCGATTGCATCCGATTATTGTTATATTGGATTTATCGATCGTTTTTTTAGAGTCTAGTTGAATCCTTTCGGTTGTTAGTTTTGCTGTTTGTTTGTTGAAAAAATTCAAAATTTATCATGGAACTGGCGTTCTAAAAGGCTCGCCACGACAGCCGTCGTGGTCAATGGTCATGAAGTCGTGTCTGATGCCACATTAAGCCTGTGGCACACCGTGGTCCAATGCATGGTTCTCGGAACGTGATATTTGAATTTTTTTTACCTCTGTAGCAGAGACGACATGTAAATTTTTTCAAGTGATGACGCACCATTTGATTATAAGAAACAAATATATGGATATTTTTCACAAAATCAACTTGATCTGGTGGTTAGTTTATTGCAAGTTTTTTTTAGGAACATAATTATTATATGAAATTAAAAGCTAAACTAAGATAATGACACTAACAGGACTCGAACTTGGGTCTGTGGTGGAAGAAAAGCCTTACCAACTCTACCAAGTGAAACTTGTGTCTTTATTGTAGTTTTAAAATATTTACGGTGACACACAACTAATTGATACAATGAAACTTGACACTAAGACGGAGGAATATGCCATCGTATGCACTACACAGGGTTCGTCCCCGCAGTGTAGTGTCTTACCTTTTAGGGGGTGTTTGGGATTGCTTATTAAAATAACTTATTGACTTATTCCGGTGTGGTACCGGTAATTAACACTTTTGAGTGTTTGGATAAACAACTTATACCGGTGTCAAACCAGTAATAAGGAGTTTTTGAAGAAGTTAAACCCTTCTAACTTATAATAAGTTGACAAGTGCTTTTGTAGAAAAACATAAGTTGTTTCAAATAAGCAATCCCAAACACCCCCTTAGTATAAAACATTCTAAAGAGTTCCATAATTAATGCAAATACATCTAGAAGTAAAACTCAATAAATTTGACGAAAAGACAAAAGAAAAATAAGTCAAATAAAGAAATTGTAAACTGAAAAATCAATAAATTGTTAATAATGTATTATTTATTTGGACAAATTGTATAAAAAAATAACGTACTTTAACTTGATTGTTATTTCGGGTAACGTACTTTCAAAATTTTTATTTTGGTACCTAAGATGTAAAGTTTTAAACATTTAAGTACCTGGGTAACCAGTTGAAGCATTAACCGGTTATTATGTTGATGTAGTGAGTGATGTGGTATCTAACTCAGTATTATTTTACTTCCAAAAAAAAAAACTCAGTATTATTTGCTGACGTGCTTCGTGACATGAATTTTTTTTAACATAAAATTAGTCTTCAATCGGTTACCCGGGTACTTAAATGTTTAAAACTTTACATCTTAGGTACCAAAATGGAAGTTTTGAAAATACGTTACCTAAAATAGAAATCAAATTAAAGCACGTTACTCTTTCTTTCAATTTGTTGTCTTTATTTTAAGTTAATTAATGATAATTTATATAATATACTTTTTAAAGGTATATAAAAATGTGCGGTGAGGTGCGGTTTCCAGTTTGATGATTCAAAACCACAAATCGCACCGCAAAGTACGTTTTTGATAAAATTGTAAACCGCAAACCACACCGTGAGTTTTTAACCACATGTTGTGTGGTGTGGGCTGTTTGTGTGATTTGACGGTTTAGATGAACACCTCTTTTATTAAACATGTTTTAGGACAGGTTATAGTTAATGATCATATATTTTGAATATCAATATTTAGAAATACAAAATCATGATGGCTTATTTGGAAGACGGTAATATGGATGGTTTTTTTACTTGATTAGGAATCATAATAATCAGGTCTTTTCTAATCGGAAAAACACTCATACTGATCACCTATTAAGCTCCAACTCCCTTTACGTTTCATTGGATTTCTAAATGAGCCAAGGGTGCAAGATTTCTTGACGGAGTAGTGTGGAGGTTAAGGCCTCGATAGATCGAGCTCGTTCAAGTTTACTCTTATTTTTTTTTTGGAAATGAGCTTTTGTCTTGGTTTCTTTGTTGTTTTTGCTACAGTGTCTTAGCTTTTATGTTCGGTTTTAGCCTCCTCGTTGCTTGCTGTCCTATTTTACTGTTCTTCATCGTTCTTTTTGAAGTATATAAGATACGGCAAATAGAACAAATAAACTCATACAACCTCCTCATCTGTGGTGAAGTTTGAACCCTTGATCTTTTAAGAAGCCAATGACTCACATACCTCTAGGTCTACAATAATAAATGTAAACCTTAAAATGTTTATAAAATGAAATTTTGGATCATAAATTTTTAATATAATTAATTTAAAAATAATAATTAAAATAGTCATTTTGACCAGTTGGTTTCGCCTCTTAGCCTTTTTTTTACAAGATTTATCAAAATAGCCTTAGGTCAGCAATTTTTTTTAACAGACCTAGGTAAAAAATGTAAAGAAAATTGCCAAACTAGGTGAGACATGTAACTTTTTTTGTCGAGGTGAAATTACTCTACTGTAATGACTATTTTAATTAATTTCTTTTAATTTTATAAATAAAAAATCAATATTTTCGAATAAGAAATGCAAGTGTTTACGATAAAGAGAATTATGACTCCCCCGTGCATGCGTATCGTTTATGGATCTATTTTTGTCGGATTCTATTTCGTTTTTTACTTCAGTATTTTTAATAATTAAATATACAATTGTTGATCAACTTAACTCTTATTTTTACGTGTTTTTTCGTCTGTATATGTGTGTATGTATAGGAGGACATTCTTTTAAGAATTCATGAAATTATGATAACTTTGAGAACTTATGTATTATGTGTTATTTCATATTGATTGACATATATTTGTTTCACAATGTATTTGTTTCATCATATGAACATTTTTTACATGTTTGTGAAACAAAAAATACACAACAAAAGTTTCACATTGTCAAATGAATACATATGAAACAAACATATATTAGTTAATATTTTAAATCCTAGTCGTATATGAAAAAAATCATATGAAATAACACATGATGCACAAGTTTTGAAGGTTATCAAAAATTTTATGGGTTCTCAAATGATTAAGCCCCTGCATGTATATATAGGGGCAAATCCACACTTGTATGTGTGTATGTATATATGTATGAATGAAAAGGTTTATTTGAGAAGTAAATACATGATTCTAGCCTTTCATCTTGTCAATATTTGCGGTTTTGATTGTGAAACACCAAATAGTTCCTCATATGGGTATGCGGAAGATAGAGGAATAGTTTCGTAACTATTACAAATAGACGGCAAACAGATTCATATGTGAACCCGTGTGATTCACATATAAACTATATGTTCACAAGTGAATTAGTTCATATGTGAATCACACGGGTACACATATGAATCCGTTTACCGCCTATTTGTAAAAGTTACAAAACTACCCCTCTATTTTTTGCACAACCACAAATTTTAACCAATCAAAGCCGCTATCTTGACCAGTCAAATCTGATCTTGACCGTATGGAAGGCTATGATCATTTCTTTACTTCTTAAATATATTTATCACTTCACAAAATAGCCTATGACTATGTATGTATATAGGGGCTTGATCATTGAAAAACCCATTAAATTATGATAATCTTGAGAACTTGTGCATCATGTGTTATTTTATATGATTTTTTTCCCTATATAGGCATATTATTTATTGTATTGATTAACATATATTTGTTTTATATGTATTAATTTCACAATATGGAACTTTTTTTACGTGTATTGTGTTTCACAAACACGTTAAAAAAAGGTTTACATTGTGAACGGAGTACATGTTCAACAAACACATTTTGATATAAATATATGTTGATTAATATTCTAAATCCTAGTCTTAAATGGAAAAAAAAATCATATGAACTAACACATGATGCACAAGTTCTCAAAGTTATCATAGTTTCATAGGTTCTCAAAAGAAAGTCCCTCTATATATGTAAAGGGGCGGATCCACAATAGTGCTTATGGCGGCAACATCGCTTCGTTCCTCCATCCTAGTATAAAAATATTAGAGTCGTGAAAAGTGTTACTGTATTGTTTTGTTGTGTATGATCGTATATATTTTGAAACTATAATGATAACACAAGTTTCCTTGATAGAGTTGGTTTGCATGGCTTTTCTCCCGTCCTAGGTGAGGGTTCGAATCCTAGTCTTCGGTTTGAGACAAATGACCAATTTCATGCCTTGAGGGTCGGGCCTAAACAATTTTGCTCATTGAACTGAGCTTGATAAGAACAGATTAGACTCGGCCCTTACGCATGTCGAGTTGGGAGTCTCCGACAATGATTCTATGGTCTCGATAGGCTTTGCACGAAAGCCATGAGATGGCTGGGTTTCGTTCGATTGGAGTAGCAGTGTGCTACTTTGGTCGTGCTTTGCTGTTTATGTCTATATTTTAGTGCATGTTTGTAACTTTTGCCCTCGGACGTGTAGCTCAGTTGAAAAAAGGGCGGAGCGACTTTGCTCAAATACACAACAGGTCCAAGTTTGAATCATGTAGGAGACGGGTTTGAACCCCTCTGCAAGCCTCGTCAGCTCTGAAATGTCTCCTCACATGTGGTTCGGGTTTCGTGTGGAACCTGTCGGGGCCGCCCGTAATCAACCTTTTTCTCAAATTAGTAATACTATTTTATCCGTTACCTACCCTCTTACCTATACATGAAGCGGACCAAGATACTAGGGGCCTGTTTGTTAGCAGCTTAAAAATCTTATGGGACTCACAACTTATTTGGTCAGCTATACATGATTGTTTGGTGGTGGCTTAATAATATAGAGTGTGACTTATTCAGTAAGCTTCTAGGGGGGAACTTTATGCAGAATATCAAGTTTTTCCCAAACCTATCCCACCGAATTAAGGAGTACGCTCCTTCCATCTATGAAAAAACCCTCCAAAAAAGGACCAATACACATACTCATATAGGACTTAAAGGAAAAACCAATCAAACAACCCCTTGGTAAGCTAAGGGAGAGACTATTGTTCGATCAGTGATTAGTGCAGCCTCAAACCGCACGTTTACCCAATTTGTGCTAGTAAACGGCTCCTAATTATGTTAATCATTAAGTTCAAACTCTATGCCAAAAATTTCAAACTTATATCGTCTATGATCGACAACGGTGATAATAGATTTATTATTAAGGAAGGAGACTTGTTTTATTTTTCATAATTAAGCACACAGTACATAATTAACAATCAGGAAAAGACTCAACTTGATCGGATGGCATCGAAGTGATTTATAATGCTTTGAGGATTTCGTCGGCACCTGAGACGGTGAACTCTCCGCCTTGTTCAATGTTAGCGGCTACCACCTTGAGGTTATCGACCAACATAGCAAACCTGCGGGAACGAACACCGAGGCCTTTCTCAGAAAGGTCGAGTTGAAGCCCGAGTGCATGAGTGTATGCTGCAGATCCATCAGCAAGGAACTTAACATTTTTTGAATCAGGGTATGACTTTCTCCATGCCTTCATTACAAAAGGGTCATTCACTGCACCAACAATATACACATTCATAATATTAATATAACCCAACTTCAAAACATCTCTTGTGTTTTCAAGAAGTTGTTATTAGATTGTTCTTTTTCTGTTTTCCTTACACTTTGCACATGACTGTGTATTCATGAAAACAATTGCTCTATACATCCCACCCCGCGGACCCCACCTTCGTGTGTGGGATATATTCGGCTTGCTTGGTTTGGTTTACCCAAGTTCAAAACATGTTTACCTCACTTTGCTACTTGTACCCGTATTATGAAGATGAAATTTAGAGGATGTTTACTAAGGGGCCGTTTAGCAACACAAACTAGATAAGTGTTAACCGGATAAGAGTTACCACCCTCACTTACCGGACCGGGTAAATTTCTTGGTCATCAAAATAGCATAATACGAGTGTCTCTTACCCGGTACGCACTATAACAAGGTAAGGGTCACCACTTACCACCGTCAGTTACCGGGTAATTTTCTTGGTGAGCAAATGGCATAGTAAGATTGGCGGTAAAGACCACCATCATCTCTATGGGTAAACGCCCTTACCCGGTAAGAAGCAATAAGTTTCTAGGTACTAGTAAGTGGCGGTAATTACTCAGTAAACAACCCCAAATGTTTATAGCATCATGTCAAATAGAATATCCCTAGTGAAAATTTATTTTGAGCATGTCAAATATGAAATATTCCAGATTGAACTTGAAAATTATAAAGATTAAAAATATATACCACTTTTCGAAACATGGTGATTAATTTCTTTGATGTAGATGATAAATACGAAAATTGATGTGACAATTTAATAATAGTTTTGAAATTGCACCGGTGTGAATGGTCTTGGTAATGAGGTGTTGGCATTTACTTTTCACGAGCAATTTGTACTTATCATTTACATCACTGAACATTCATCAAATATTACAAGAATTCAATAGGTAAACCATTGAAATGGATAAAAAATAGAAAATTGCTCGTGAGAGTTTCATTAATGTAAATGATCATTACAAAATTGCTCGTGAGAATTTAAAAATGGTATTGAAATTGCACCGGTGTGAATGATCTTGTTATGAAGTGTTCACATTTTCTCAAGAATTAATCATAACCAAGCATCAAGCATGATTCTTTTTAATCCCTCAGTGTCCAAACTTCAAATACAAGTCCAACAGATTAAACAATCAGTGACAAATTTCATATATAAGCTCACAATCATACCCTACATATATACAATAAAAAAGTAGTAAACTAAGATTGAAACACATACCACTGATTAACAGAAGTTCCTCTACACCCTTTGATTTGAGCTCTTCGGATTTTTCAATGAAACTTGGTACATGCTGCATGCTGTTCCACAGGAATTAACAAAAGAAAATTGTTACTACATCCATTTCAAAATCAAATAAGGGGGATCTATATAATATCACCATATACCCCAGAATTAAGAGAGATGCTTTACATTTTCCAATTTAGCCATACCTTTCCTATTCGTAACTACAATAGAATAATGTTCCAATATTGCAATATCATCCCAATAATCAGACTAATGTAGTGGCATCTGGAATGTACTATCCTTACAAGCTGCAAATATAAGCGGATTTGCATGTAACAAAAATAAAATTAAGCACAGTTCTTCGTGTTTAGGGAATCAACAATTAAAAAAAAAAACCTAACGTTCAAATTCATTCGAGTTATCGAGTATATTTAATTCTATTAATTTCTCAATCAAATCTGTCGATAACCGGATGATGACTCAACACTAATGCATCTGAAATGCAAAATTTCCCCGACATGCTCGAGCTTAGGAGGTTCTACCAAATACACCGCAAAACAATCCAAAAATTCAATAGAAAAATAAAACGAGAGGATTTTAAACGTTTTTCACCTGCAAGTAGGAGTGAAAGCGCCGGGAACGCCAAATATAACGACTTTCTTGCCGGAGGCCAGAGAATGTATGGAGACATTCTGCATCTGATCTTGTTCATCGAAGTAGGCAAGAGTAGCATCGGGAATTGTGTCACCAACAGCGATCGGAGCCATTTTTCTGTGAATCGTATTCTCTTTAACGGTGATCGGCCGGCGATAATGCTGCGTTTTCAGTGCGACTGACTGTTGGTAGGTTGGTACGCCTATTTATACGGTTCTGGACTGCGGATCTGAATCGAATTGTTAACTAATTATAAATAACCGTTCGGGTCCGATTGCCTGCAACTCCCGTTACTGTGCACCTCGCCATATCATCTCCCAAATGGAATCAAAAGTAAATTTAGAAAAAATAGAAAATAAAAAATAATTATATAAATTATATTATTGAGATATTCTATATATTTTATAAAATATTTTCTCTATCTCTTATTTATTTAATTTCAAAGATTATAATTAAAAAAATAAAAAATAATTTAGATAATTTTACATTCTTTCTTATACCTTTTTTTAATATCAGAAGGTTTTAAAAAAAATGTTGAAAAAACCTCGAAAATTAAGAAATAGAGATTTTGGACATGTTTTTTGTTCCAACAGATTCTCTAAAAACCCTTCTCCAAATTGATGAAATTATGAGAGAAAATGTAAGAGTATTTTCAACAGATTCTTTAAAATAGAGATTTTACGGATTTTTGCTCCAACAGATTCACCAAAACCTTCTCCAGAATGAAGAAAGTAGGGAGAGAGTGTGAAATTCTCCAAATTTGGAGAAATCTCAAAAAATAATTACCTATGAAGAATAAATTATTTTTTATTCTTTATACCAATGAAATTTTTTGAAATTAAATGTACATGATGGAGATATAATATTATTTAAAAAATATTAAATAATATAATTTATATTGTAACGTCCAAAATGGATAAGTGATCGATGATGAATATAACTTTTTTTTTGAAATTTTTGATTTTTGATTCTCCAAAATAGAGAATCTGATAGAGATTCTCTAAAAGCATCTCCAGCTATGTTAAAAATAAAGATTTTGGAGATTTAGAGTATATTATTGTTCCAACATATGTTAATGGACTGTTTGACAATTGCTGAATAGTTAGATGCAAAATGATTAAGTGGTCAAAAAGATTAAGAAGCTTTCATGATATAGTGTAAAGTGAAATATAATTGTTTGTAATTATTTACAACTAAATTGGGGCGCTGAATAGTTAAGGGAAACTCATGATACAAAATCATTCAGAGGGTTTTGGAACCATCAAGAGTAAGACTTTTTTTTTGACAAACAAGGTTCACCTCTTAACAATTCAGAAACTGTCTCTTAATAAACTATTAAGAGGTAAACAAACAACCCCTGAAATATATAAAAGAATAAAGAGATAGTAGAAATCTCCAATTTGAAGAAATTTCTAAAACTCCATATTTAAGTGAGAAAAATAATATTTAACTGTTTCTTACCAATATAAGACATTGAAGTTAAGGTTTTAGGAGATATAAATAATATTTTATTAAATGTATTGAATATTTTAATAATATAGTTGATGATGGAATTGTTAAAATAGAGTAATTGTTGGAGTTGAATGTATTTTTAGAGATTTTAACTTTTGATACTGTATTTTTTGAAAAATTATAGCATAGCTGTTGGAGGTGCTTCAAAAATCTCCAAAATTGGAAAACACCAAAAAATAATTATAATAAGAGAGGAATATTATTTATTATATTTCCAATCTAATAAGATAAAATATTTTATTAATTGAAATAAATAGTCTAATAATATAATCAATATTGTAATCTCCAAAATAGAAAATTTGTTGGAGTTGAATATGTTTTTATTTAGAAATTTTAAAGTTTCATTCTCCATTTTGGATAAATTTTGAAGAATATGTTAGAGTTAAATGTATTTTCGTTTGGAAAAATTGCATCAAAATGGAACCAATTTTCATTTAATTTTTATTTTGGGGAACCAATTTTCAAAATCGTCATTTTGGGGAACTAATTTGCACCTGATTCTTATTTTAGGGAATCAACTTTCAAAATAGTCATTTTGGGGAACCAACTTGCACCTGATTCCTATTTTGGAGAACCAACTTGCAAAATAATTATAGAAAAATAACTAAAATTCGTTTTTTTCCAAACATTAATGCAATAAAATCTATTTTTCATTTCAAACTTCATTTTTTTAATTCAGATATCAAATTGAATATTTTTAAAAAAAATCCAAATTACCACAATAAAAATTGTTTTTTACTGATGCAAAAAAATCAATTTAATAGAAAAAAATTTAATTGATACAATAAAAAACAAATATTAAATATCACATTCAAGATTTTTATATCTAACCAATTGCATCAATTAATTTTTTTCTATATTAAATTGATTTCTTTTGCATTAGTAAAAAATAATTTTTATTGTGGTAATTTGAATTTTTTTTTAAATGTTCAATTTGATATCTTAATTAAAAAAAACGAAATTTGAAATGAAAAATAGATTTTATTGCATTAATTTTTGGAAAAAAACGAATTTTAGTTATTTTAATTATTTTGCAAGTTGGTTTTTCAAAATAGAAATCAGGTGCAAGTTGGTTCCCCAAAATGACGATTTTGAAAGTTGGTTCCCCAAAATAAGAATCGTTTGCAAGTTGGTTCCCCAAAATGACGATTTTGAAAGTTGGTTCCCCAAAATAGGAATCAGGTGCAAGTTGGTTCCCCCAAAATGACGAATTTGAAAGTTGGTTTCCCAAAATGACGAATTTAAAAGTTGGTTCCCCAAAATAAGAATTAGATGAGAGTTGGTTCCATTTTGGTGCAATTTTCCCTTTTCGTTTTAGAAATTTTGAAGTTTTATTTTCCATTTTAAATATATTTTTAAAAAAATTTGTTGAAAATAGTCTTAGGGGTTGTTTGATAGTTGCTAGATGGTTTAGTATAATGATTAAGTGGTCATAATGATTAAGAGACTCTCATGATATAGTGCAAAATAAAATATAATTGTTTGGTAATTATTTACAACGAAATTATGGTGTTGAATGGTTAAATGAAGCCCATAAAGATATTTGACGCAAAGAAAAGGGGTTGATCCGTCTCATCTTGACTTGGTGCTGCTCCAAAAAGATCTACTTCTTACTCAAGTTTCGAGTGAAGAGCAAGCAAAACTTCATTGATTCCGTATACTAAATCATTCAGAACATTTTAGAACCATTGAGAAATAGATTTTTTTTACCAAACAAAATACATCTCTTCAAGATCCAAATTCTGCCTCTTAATGGAACAATTAAGATATAAACAAACAACCTCTTAGATTTTTATCTTTACGTACTTTTTTCCTCACACATATTTTACAACAAAAAACAAGTGAATTTATTTATCAAGTATTTATTAAAATTGCTTTACGGGGTTGTTGTATTTTTGTCGCATAATTGTATACCGTATAAATCGGTTTTTCCAAGCTAATGTATCAATTTAATCATACATAGAGAGCTTATTGGTTGAAATCCAATTTATTTGGATGGATTTGATCCAATCAAATCATGCGTTGAATGTTGGATTTATTACCTAATTAAATCCAACTATTCTGATCCAATCCAATGATTGGATCGAAACAGTTCATCCATTGGATATTACTACTGGTTATCCATTAGATCAAATTGAAATTCATTTAGTAATTTGATCCAATTAATCCATCATTCCAATCAATAATTTATTAAGTTATTAAAAAACACTGCATATAAATATAAACAACATTGTAAAATGTTAATGATTATATATAGTAATTTACAGAACACTGATTGGATGATAAATTGGATATTCATTTGGATTGGACCGTTTCTATTTTATTGGATTATGCATTGTCATCCAATAACTGATTGATCCAATTTGAATCTTGAAATTTTGGTTCTGACCCCATCAAATTATAATTAGATATCTGATTATAACTGATTGGTTCTAATTGGATCGGTTGGTTTAAATTAGATCGAATAACTTTCTACGAACCCCCAATTAGACATAGAGTAGAATGATGCATAGCCCCTAATTAGTTATTTCTAAAAATAACCACTTATTTTAAAACAGATATAAATATGAGTTGGGAACTAATGAGAATGAAAGTGTCATGCATCCGTCTAAAGGTCAAACCTAATAGTATGCTACACATTCTAGAAGGGGTAATTGGGTAATTCTAAATAAATTGGTATTATAAATAAGGTTTAGAAGGGGAGAGTAGGGTATGCAGAAATTAGTGGATTTTATATGGGGGAATTCTAGCATCTTGAATCATAGTTTGTTCTTCGTTTTCCTTGTTAATTGAAACAGTCGAGAGATTGTTTGACAGTTGCTGATTGATTTAGTATATAATGATTAAGAAACTCTCATGATATAAGGCAAAATGAAGTAAAATTGTTTGGTAATTGTTCAGAATGAAAGTAGGACGCTGATTGGTTAATGGAGACCCGATATACAAAATCATTAAGAGAGTTTTGGAACCATTAAGAAGCAAACTTTTTTTTTTCTGTCAAACAAGATTCACCTCTTAACGATTCAGAGACTGCCTCTTAATGGAACTATTAAAAGGTAAACAAACAGTATTTGACATTGTCCTTTTTATTTGGTTTCCATTTCAGTTGTTCAATCATTTTGGTTCATAAACATTAAGTTACAATGAGAAGGGTAAGAAGTAATGCCTACATTTGAATCAATTCTAATCGAAAAGAACCACTAGATCAACACTAATTAGATACATTAGATCAATTTTTTTCTAAAACATAATTTATGAGCTAAGATTAAAAATGATCAAGGGTCCAAATCGCTTAATATTTATTATTTTTAAAAAACAAATATTTATTTGAAAACAAATAAAAATAAAAATATGAACATAAATATTTACTAAATTTTTTTTTTTTAATTTAAGCCCAATGTAGGCCTGGACTATTTGCTCTACAAAAGTGTTCAGGCGTAGATTTCATGAACCACCGCATCAGCCGGCGATTTCCACCGAGAAATCCTCAATCACGGCGAGTTCCAGTCCTAGCAACGAGTTCCAGGCTCCGGCGCTCCATCGCTAGTTCTGTCTTCTGGTTGGATTACAGGTTTCTCATTCAAACAATCTAAAATTTCAATTTAGTTAACAGTTTTGTCATATTGCTCAAGTATCGTTTGATCTGTTCACCATTTATTATTCAATATATGAGTATTTTTTGTACTTTTTGCATTTTACTATAATCTGCTTTCTATAAAAAAATTGTGATAATATGTTTGTAGGATTCATTATCATTTGCTTGTACCAAATTGGTGTAAACGCACCATGTGAATAGGTCAAGTTCTATCATTTGATTTTCAATCTTTAGTGAATTCAATTGGCATATAAACTAAAATGTGCTGATACTTTGGGATAAAATAAAATCGCAGAGTAGACACTTATTTTGGGGGGAGTATTGAATAATTATAACTGGAAAGTCTAATTATAACAAGGTCTGTTTTGTAGTATTACATTATGAAAATAAATATTATATTCCAAGGCGTTGATATAGAAACTTCCATTCCATAGATCCCTCTTTGTTTGGGAAATTTTACCAAATCAGGGTTTATTAAAGTTTGCTTATTTCAGGGTACACGGTGACATTTAGATTGTAATTGTGATTACGATGTCAAAGGAGAAGCCAATGTCGGATTAATTATCCCTGATTTGGTTGTAAAATGGCGGAGCCGTTGACTATTTCAAATGCAAAGTTTACGTATGTACATGATGATGGTAAGTTTCTCCCGTCCCACGCTGTCGACACTCATCATATTGTTGCTCGGAGAAGTGTTGTGAAGCCAATTGCCATATACCTGTTTGTGGTGCTTCTTGTAGCATATGCTGCCTTTCTCCATTTCAAAAAGGTATACTTATATGTAAGTTACTTAATTAGTTACTATAATTTTGTTCAATATTGTGTGTTTTACGTGTTTATGAAATTAGATACATTTTGTTGTGATTGTTTCTTGCCAATTTTGAATGTAAGGTATCGAGTATATTTCCACAATTGTCATATGTATCTATATACAATGTGATCAATGTGTGGTTATTGCAAGTTGTGGACATCTTTGATTCGAAACAACTGCTCTACTCTTTAGGATAGAGGTAAGATCCGTGTACATTTTACCCCCAGACCCCACCTCAGGTGGGACATACCGGGTTTGTTTGATATACACTTTGACTATACATACTAATTTTATAGGATGCATGACATTTGAGATCTTTACAATGAAATTATCATTCTAGATATAACTTCTTAGGGGCTGTTTGTTGGTTTTCCATTAAGTTGTCTGCGTTGATTAATCTATCTCTATAAATTGGGAAGATTTTTGTTTGGGAAGGTTTTTTCGTAGATGGAAGAAGCGTGTTTTTTGATTGGGAGGGGCAGGTTTGGAAAAACTTGACTTTCTGCATAAAGCCCCCCTTCTTAAAAGCTTACTGAATAAGCCATTTTCTATATCATTAAGCCACTACCAAATGATCATATATAGCTGACTGAATAAGCTGTAAGTCCCATTAAACTCGTTAAGCTGCTAGCAAATAGGCCCTTAGTCTTTCATACAACCTAAAGACTGGAATTTGACTTGGATTTTAATCTTGCTAGGATATAATAATTAATATTTTGCTCAAGTTACATGTAACGATCTTCTCTTACATACAGGGGAAACCAGTCACAACTGTTATCTGGAGCGTATTTTTTGGTGCCGTCCTGATCAAATTGCTTATATGGAGTTCGATTGTGAAAGGTGAGGATCTGAAATGGGTTCATCACTCTGAGTACGTTAAAGCCAGGTCATAAGTCTCATTTTGTAGCAAATTTGACCCTATGTGGAATTTGATACATATATTTTATACCAGAATGCTAAATGGGTATTTTCAGTTTTTTCTATATTAATCTTTGTTTTTGCTTACCCTAATTGAGTATCATTTCCCAAAGACGATGCTTGATTACCAATATGGCGCTCAACTAGGAGCAATGTGCTCTCTTCTTTTTGCCTCAATTAGTGTGACCCCGATTTTGTTTTTTGGACATTGCTGTCCTTTCTCATTAGACGAAGCCAAATTAAACCAAATTGACTGAGTGAATCCCATTTGAATGTAGGGTCTAGGGGTGCGATGTACGCAGACCTGACCTCTACCCTTTAAGAGTGGAGGGGTTGTTTCAGTGAAGACCCCTAGCTTGTGCACGAGTGTGAGCAAACAGGTAGAGGGAATATAGACTAACATATGGTGAATGAAACACAAAAAAAATAAGAAAAATAAATACATTGAAAACAAATGAAAAGATAAGGCGGAACACATAAAAGTAGCTTTTAATTGCTGTTGGTATGTTGCATTTTTCATCCTTACAACATGCATGAACTGTTAAAAACTTACAATCTATCTGGTGTTTATATATTTGGAACTATTATCGGCCTCATCACGCTTTCTTTTCCTTTGGTTTATTTCAGAATCTGTCATAATTATGCCGGCGTTTGGAGTCCAGCTTGAAACTCGTTACGGAAGGTATTGCATTCAACCTAACATTTCCAAGATTTTGGCACGTATGCGCATAACAAATATACACAACCAAACCAAAGGGCTATTTGACCCTAACCTCCCTGGGCAAGGGTTCAAACCTCACAAAGAGGTGTGGAGTATACATGAGTATTTTCCGTGTATAAATTTTATATATTCAATATATATAGTGAGGTTCAAAGAAAAACCCCCCAAAAAATGAAAAACCGAAGAACACCCATATTGTAGACAATATGCACATGTGTATACAAGTAATTGAAGATGTTTCCTGGTTCTAGGCATGTGTGCATATTGTGCATAACTGGAAAAGTTGCTTACAAATTACTTGTATGCATATGCATACATACAGATGAACTGTTACTAGGGTGTTTTTTAGTTTTTCAATTTTTTGTGGTTTTCCTTTGAACCTGACCCTATATAATATATATATGTATGTATGTATACACACATGACCAACCTGAGTTTTCTGTTCTTTCCATGTAAAAAGCTTGCTGACGGCCATGTTCGTTTCTATAGCGGCAGGGGTATATCAATATGCTTGGATGCTTTTATACTCACATACTAAAAGCAAAAGAAAGAACAAAACAAAAATTATTAAAGGGAAAATGCAACAAAGTTTGGTTTAGTTTCTATTTAGTGAACAAAGTATTTTTTTCTCAATTGATGTAACGAAGTTTCAAATTTTCCTACTTTGTACCAATTTTAATAAGTAACCTGCTAATCTTGTACTCCCTCCGCTCCAAATAAGTAACAAGTGTCCACTTTCAAAAGTAAGTTTCCCATATTTCCCTTTCTATCCTTAATTATGAGATGGAAAAAGTCTCTCTATTATATTGGGTAAAAGTGTCATTTAATTATTTAAGAAGTGTAATAATTGCACATTTCTAAGACTGTGTGTCATTTTCATCGTGAACATTTGTTTTGGGATAGAGGGAGTAACATTTAATGATGTGGATAACCGTTTATGAAAGGTTTAGGGCAAAGTGGACATGTTAGAAGATAGCAGGTTAACGGTCAAAATGGGTAAAGGAAAGGAAAATTTGAAACTTTGTTACATTAAAAAAGAAAATTTGAAACTTATTTACATTGATTGAGAAAATAAATCATCATAAGACAAACTTCATTGCATTTTGATGCATTTTGTCCATTATTAAATCGTTAACCATCACTGAACATCACCACATACCAGGCGTTTGTTTTTATGATCCTTTTTACCATACAACTTCCTTAATGGAATTGTTTCTTTTCTGCATGATTATAGTGGAAGGATAAACCGGTGCTTTATTCCGGTAAGCAAGATTCTTAAACCCGTGCTGAATGAATGCGTTACCCCAGTTACTTGTTGTTGGTGCCTATCTCTCATAGTACACGAGAAAGATGAGCTTACCCTCGTTTTCAAGGTAACGTCGTTGGAGTTCTTGTTAATCATTACCATCTAGGCGAAAATGCACCAAAAAGGCAACGCATTTTGCCTTAGTTCCTAGTTAACGTAAAGATCAATTTTCTAACTGTTATATTTTCATGATTACCTGTTATATTACCTATCTTATTGTATGCTTGCGCATACACCAGGGGTCTTCACATAATCAGCCTCTTGATCCTAGCGGTTGAGGCAAGGTCTGCCTACATCCTACCCCTCCTAGACCCTACTTTCGAGTGTGTTTGTTTGGGACAACTATTCAATTTTTTATATTTTGCATGCATTTTGACCATAACCGGTAAATCTTGTAAGTATTGATGACATAGATGTCAAGTTATTTTGTAGATCTTGATAACGTGGCAAAATGTCACATTGAAATCAACAGATGCCACGTAGGCTGAAAAATCATTTATCTTGTAAAAATGGGTACAAAATAGGAAAAATTGAACGTTTGTTGAGAAAAAGATTCATCATTACACTAAATATCGTTACATTTTGATGCATTTTGTTCTTACTCCTTACCATCTACTAATCCATGGGAACATTATCTGTTCCTTTGATCCTTTCCAATCCACTTCAACCCTCCATAATTTTCTGGTTTCTCGTGGTGTTTTGAACTTGCATCTTTTTCAGGAATTCCGTCCGCCCTTGAAAATGTTAGTACCCATCTGGAAAGCTTTATGTGCTGCCACCGATCATCAAGAAAGCTCCGAGCCATTTCGAGAAGATGGGTAAGTTACCGAGCATAAGGAACTTGGGGAAATTGACATTTGGTTCTATTGACGGAATCACACCAGCTTGGATGCCTCGGTGTGAAATCACTTTCTTTCGTTATAAAGTGCGTCAAATCATGAACGAGTTCTTGAATCAAGATATGCATCGGAATTCTTGCATGATGTTTTGTACTCTAAAACAAGAACCCAAAGAGACGAAAAAAAGGGTGTCGCTTTATCTGCTTTGTTGTTCGAAGGGATATACCGGGTTGGTTTGTTTGTTTGGTTTGGCTTAATGTTAAAAGGTGTTCTTATGTACATGGGAAAGATTGCTTGTTATACCTTAGAAGATGATTTATGCAATCAATTCCTTGCTATTTTTTCTAGTTTATGATACTAGCCTTGTTTTTTTTCCCTAAAATTGCAGGATATATATACATATATATATATATATATATATACATATATATATATATATACATATATATATATATATGTATATATATATGTATATATACATATATACATATATATATACATA